AAAAAAAAAAAAAGAAGAACGGGGTAATATGGATTATACGTCTAATTAGCTGGTGCTAGATACTACGGATCTGTATATCGCCCTGGAATAGATAAGGAGCGCTATATCACGTCTTCGCCAAGTCTTCTGATCAAGTCTTCTGACCAAGTCTCTCGTTCGCACAAAGGCTCGTAGGAGAGTCTGCATTTCAAGTACCCTACTGTTTCATTCATTGACTAGAGACCTCGCAATGGTGCTTGTTGCTTTGTATCTGCCTTCCGGGCAAATGCCCGTGGGCTACTCCCCAGCGATGATATCCTACCCGGCCCTGGCGGTCGTGCTTGTATGTTGAGGTCCATGAGTTTCGCGACAACTGTGATAAAGGCTCTACAGTGTGACTGACCGGTGCAGTTCATTTTCTTCATCATTCTCTTTGTACAGGTCCAACCAAAGGGGCCCACCATCAAAGGTGTTCCCGGATCGTTCCTTGATATCTTCTGTTGCGGTGTATGTGACCTTTTCCCTATAGCAAATGAAGGAATCTGAAGTGTTTAATGTTTATCTATACAGATCGCAACCAAATTCGCTTTTATATCGGGGCGGAGTGCACATCAGTTCCATGCACTGCATGAGTCTTACGGTAAGCGAAATGGATGTGTGGGCTTCCACTTGATGCTGATTGCTGTACAGGTAAAATAGTTCGATTTGCCCCCGGCCAAGCGACGACAAACACGATCAAAGCTTTGCGCAGTATCTACGGTTCCGGTACTGGCAAGGGCTCTGCCTTTCTTAAAACTGGCTTCTACAAGAGTATCTCACGGCGCAATATCTTCACGGCCTCTGATCCACTCTATCATTCGTCTGTCCGTAAACTCTTTGGCCCTTCAATGACACCAGGAAGTATGGAAGCACATGCTGGAGTGGTTCGTGAATGTACCCTGCGACTTCACGACGTGATTAACTCCAAATTGGAGAATACTACTACTCTTTCTCTCAATGAGCTCCTCTACTGCCATTCTGTCGATACGGTTTCGGAAGTCCTACTTGGAAAGCCCCTCGGCTGCTTAAAGCGAGGGAAGCCGTATTTTTGGACTGCACAGTTGCCTCGCATCTTTTACTGGGCCACCATCAGAGATCAATTTGATGGATCAGGCGTCCCAACGGTAATGAAATGGCTCCTGCGCCGCTTTCTACGCAAAGGCATTCGTCTTCGCAGCGAGGAGGCCCGCATGCGATTGATCCATGAGTAAGTCTTCCCCACACTATCACCTGCCTCTGTATGCCTTACACGATGATAGACAATTGAAAGCATCACACACCCGCCGCGACATAATGGTCGAAGTAATGGAGAGAGCGGAGACCAGCGGCTTGCGCGAGTCTGAGATTGCTGAAAATTTCTCCGCCATCATGTTGGCAGGATTTCACACTACACAGAACGCATTGTGTGCCGTTATTTTCTTCGTTCTGACCCACCCCGAAGCCCACGCCAAGTTGGTCCGTGAACTACAGGGTGTCTTCTATACAGCAGAAGACATTTCAGGTGATGTTGTCCAACAGCTACCGTACCTCAACGCCGTCATCACAGAGGCTTTGAGACTCTATCCGCCTGTGCCCCTAGGGGGTCCGCGGGTTTCACCTGGGGCCTATGTGGACGGGGTCTACATCCCGGCCGGGGTAAGTTTCCTGACAGATCGTTGTACGGTGTGGACCCGACTAACGGTGGGGATTTAATTTTATCACAGACGGAGGTCTGCACATCACTGTTCGCGCTGCATCACAATCCCGAGTATTTCAACGAACCCTACGAGTTCATCCCCGAGCGATGGACAGATCCCGGATCGACGGACAAAAAGGAGGCCGTCCAGCCGTTCCTCGTCGGTAGTCGGGCCTGTATCGCAAAGTACTTCGCTAAGCAGATGATGCAAATCACCCTAGCGGGTTTCTTTCTGGATTTTGAAGCTGAGTACGTGGGAACCGTCAAGGACTGGCAGCGGGAGAGTCGCTGTTATGCTTTCTGGGAAGTGCCGGATCTGAAGGTGAAACTTCAACGACGGCAAGCCTAAGTTTCGAATGTTGTTCCTGTTTCTCTCTATCTATTTGATTTATTCATCATATTTTAATGATATATCCTTGCGCTGTTATGCCTCCTGTGATGTTTGACATGGGTTCCAGATTCATGTGTGATGTTTTAGTGTAAAAACCAAACATATTGTACCACCGGTAGAGTCCGTTTGTTAGGGCAATGGAAGGCCCACGATTCCCTGTACTCACGTCCCTACATTGTTTAATTGCTCAGACCACGGCTCTTTTCTCCACTGATAAGATTAAATTGTGACTAATGTTTCCACCGAGCCTAATTAAACAAGCCTAATGGGAACTAAGTCTAATGTCCTATATTTAAGACTCAGCCGGCAGGATTGACGTTTTACTTTACCGATCCCAAATTTGAGACTTTGCTGTTGAGCCCACCACACCCAAACCGTCCCAAATTCTAGCACCGATGTACTCTCCGAGCCGAAAACACTGGATTTGTTTACCCTGGAATTGAGTTCACTTCCATTATTAGCAGACTATACTACCGGTTCCTGTCGATCATAGCCTCAATGCCGTCGTTTCGTCCGAGGATGATCTGTGCATCCTCTGAAACAGCGGATCGCATGATGGCATATCACACCAAATAATGAGCTTCACCTTACTCATGAAAGCTTTTTGTAGGGCGATGAAACGCCGGACGCTCCACATGCCCATTCACCTACCTAAATTCTGGAGTTCAAACAAGACCCTTGGTGATATGTCTTACCTATACGAGGATCTGAGATGTTTACGGTGGCAAGGAAGGAAAATCGCAATGTATCTGATCACCCAGGATTATGGTACTATTCACCCTAGGATGCTCCGTCGCTTATTATCACGTATCGGGACTCGATGAAACCACATTCAGGCTTACCCCGGGGATGATGTGACGAGTAGCCCGACAGGCAATGTCAGGAACTACCCTCTGACCCTGGACCCCTTACTATCCCAACCCAGGACATCATTTGAAGAATTGACCGCTAATTGGCAATAGCGGTGGGGTGACTAACAAGTGCCTGCGAAAGTCGGAGACGCGGAGAGGGTTGCAAAAAACTTAGGGACTGCTCCACTGCCCCAAGGCTTTTTGACGCGCTCACAAAGTACCCGCGTAACAATCTCTTGCGCTGATAATACGTTTGGTGCTGGTAATTGGGAAATGGCCGCCTGTCATTCCATCAGATGTGAAGACTGGGAGCCATTTGCACCATGAAACTCGACAAAGATATACTGATGAAGCCGCTCCCAAAGGTGAAATCCATGCGTTGATCTAACTATCACAGCATCATCGCTGACTTGTTGATCCAATCAGTCTCCTGGGACAGGCAGTACAACTACGGGTCTCTCTGTCTCACACGCTGAAGAGGTCCTCGATAGACAGCTCCATGCGCCGGTGTCACAAGTCGGTTTCTTTGGTGTCTATCGATATGCGACTCGGTGCGATGTTGCCATTCTCTTCGGCAGTGCACTTGCTGCGATCGCAGGCGGTGCAGCACTTCCTCTCTTCACAGTAGGTGATGTCTGGATTTAGAATACCTAGCTCATAATCACAAAGGCTAACCAACTATGCTAGGTCCTGTTCGGCAGGCTGACGTCGACCTTTCAAGACATTGCTACCCATCAAATCACCTATGATCAATTCCATCACGAGCTGACCAAGAATGTGGTCTACTTCATATACCTGGGTGTGGCTGAGTTCGTCGCGATCTATCTGGCGACCGTCGGCTTCATCTACACTGGCGACCATGTCGTGCAGCAGATTCGCGTGAAATACTTCCAGGCTATCTTAAGACAGAATATCGCCTTCTTTGACACTCTCGGTGCCGGCGAGATCACCACGAGAATCACTGCCGATACGAACTTGATACAAGACGGCATCTCCGAAAAGGTCGGCTTGGCCTTGACTGGGCTGTCGACGTTCGTTACGGCGTTCATTATCGCCTATGTAAAGAACTGGAGCTGGCGCTAATCTGTAGTGCCAGCCTCCTCGCGTTGCTTTTGACCATGGGCGGTTGCTCCACCCTCATGCTTATCTTCAACAAAAAGGCATTAGAATGCCAGGGCCGTGGCGCCAGCATGGCGGAGGACATCCTCGACTCCATCAGGACCGTCGCAGCCTTCAGTGCCCAAGAAACCCTGGCACAGAAATACGAATCACATCTCAAGGATGCCGAAGGGCCTGGGATGAAATCAAAAGTAATTTTCGCCATCATGGTTGGGGCATTACTATGCATCATGTATCTCAACTATGGGCTTGGGTTCTGGATGGGGTCTCGCTTCCTCGTCGAAGGAATCAGTAACATCAAAGCCGGGGATGTGCTGACCATCATGATGGCCATCATCCTAGGTTCCTATAATCTAGGAAATGTGGCCCCCAATGGTCAAGCGCTGTCGAACGCGGTGGCGGCGGCATCGAAGCTATATAGCACCATTGACCGTCAGTCCCCCTTGGATGCGCTGTCCGACGAGGGCAAGACACTGGAGTTTGTCCGAGGAAATATAGTGCTTCATAACATCCAGCACGTGTATCCATCGCGGCCCGAGGTCACTGTTGCTCATGACCTTAGTTGTTATATCCCCGCTGGTAAGACGACTGCCTTCGTGGGCCCCTCGGGTTCGGGCAAAAGTACCATCATCAGCTTGCTGGAGCGGTTTTATGACCCGGTCGCGGGGACCATTATGCTCGACGGCCAGGATATTCAGACATTGAATCTCCGGTGGCTGCGACAGCAAATGTCGCTCGTGTCGCAGGAGCCGAGACTCTTCGCCACCACAATCGCGGAGAACATCCGTTATGGAATCATTGGCTCTCGATTTGAAAAGGAATCGACCTATGAAATCCGAAAGCGAGTTGAAGCCGCAGCTCGAACGGCAAATGCGCACGAGTTCATTATGGCGCTTCCGAATGGCTATGATACGAATATCGAGAGCTTCTCACTCTCTGGAGGGCAGAAACAGCGCATCGCCATTGCCAGAGCTATTATAAAGGACCCTAAGATCTTGCTCTTAGATGAAGCAACATCCGCCTTGGACACGAAATCCGAAAAGCTCGTTCAGGCAGCACTGGACAAGGCATCGAAGGGTAGGACGACAATCGTCATCGCTCACCGACTGTCCACAATCCAAAAGGCGTATAACATCATTGTTCTTGCCAATGGCCAGATTATTGAGCAAGGGCCGCATGAGCATTTGATGGATCGACGAGGGGTCTATTATGGCATGGTGGAAGCGCAACAGATCAAGAAGCGGTACTCGAGATACTCTAAGCGATATTCCCATTTCTTGACGAGCATTCCCCCTAAACATACCCCAATGACATTCTTCTTCGATAAAGATTGTCCTGGCGATGACCAGTCCGATTTACATAGTGTAGTCAGTGATGATGCATCCGATATCGGATTGCACACTGGAGAGAAACAACGACCTGTGTCGAGAATGACACTATCTCATCTCATGCAGCCCGCCAAGGAAGAGGCTTATTCTTTCTGGACTTTGTTCAGATTTCTTGCCTCATTTAACCGGCCCGAGTGGCCGTTCTTATTACTCGGTCTCTGCGCATCCATCCTGGCAGGGGGTATTCAACCATCGCAGGCCGTGCTGTTTGCGAAGGCTGTCAGCACGCTCAGCTTGCCTTCCTTTGAATATCCGAAGCTCCGGCACGATGCCAACTTCTGGTCTCTTATGTTTCTCATGATTGGCCTCGTATCGCTTTTTTGTATAGCGTACAAGGGACTTTATTTGCGTATAGTTCTGAAAAAATGGTCTACCGCGCTCGCAGTCGTGCATTCCGAGTGATGCTACACCAAGATATTTCTTTTTTCGATCGGCAGGAAAATACGACAGGCGCATTGACAGCCACACTAAGTGCAGGAACCAAAGAGCTAACCGGTATTAGCGGCGTCACATTGGGGACTATCTTGATTGTCTCTGTCAATCTCGTGGCTTCGTTAGGGGTAGCCCTTGTCATCGGTTGGAAGCTGGCACTGGTGTGCATCTCCGCAGTTCCAGCCCTGCTAATGTGTGGATTTGTTCGGGTTTGGATGCTGGAGCGGTTCCAACGAAGGGCAAAGAAAGCATATCAGGAATCGGCTAGTTCTGCTTGTGAGGCAGCCTCGGCCATCCGTACGGTCGTTTCCCTGACCATGGAGACCGAGGCCTTGCAATCCTATCAAGCACAGCTTCGTCGACAGCTCAAGAGTGATATTCTCCCCATTGTTAAATCATCCTTACTTTATGCCAGCTCGCAGGCGTTGCCTTTCTTCTGCATGGCGTTGGGATTCTGGTATGGCGGGTCTCTACTTGGTCATGGAGAGTACTCCCTCTTTCAGTTTTACGTGTGTTTTAGCGAGGTGATCTTTGGGGCCCAGGCCGCTGGAACGGTTTTCTCTCATGCTCCGGACATGGGCAAGGCGAAACACGCTGCCCGTGAGTTCAAACTGCTCTTCAGCAGCGCCACAATGCATGCTTCTCGAGGCAAAGGAGTTCCGGTTTCGTCCATGCAAGGGCTGGTTGAGTTCCGCGAGGTCTCCTTTCGATATCCCAGTCGTCTGGAGCAACCAATCCTTCGCCACTTGAACCTGACCATCAAACCAGGGCAATTTGTGGCGCTGGTGGGCGCGAGTGGAAGTGGCAAGAGCACTACCATTGCGTTACTGGAGAGATTTTATGATCCTCTCAAAGGTGGTGTCTACGTAGATGGAAGGAATATTATCACTCTCGAGATGTCTTCCTACCGCAGCCACTTGGCTCTCATCAGTCAAGAACCGACTTTGTTCCAAGGGACCATCCGGGAGAACATCCTGTTGGGAAGCAACACGCCTGATGTCCCAGATGGTCTCCTCATTAAAGCCTGCAAGGATGCAAACATATACGATTTCATATTGTCATTACCGTAAGTTCTTCCACACCATTCGTATCAATATAACAGCAGAGGTATACTAACGGTTTGCAGGCAGGGCTTCAACACCATTGTTGGCAATAAAGGAGGCATGCTCTCTGGTGGCCAGAAGCAGCGCATTGCCATCGCTCGGGCCCTTATACGGAATCCAAAGATCCTCTTATTGGACGAAGCTACGTCCGCTCTAGATTCCGAGTCGGAAAAGGTCGTCCAGGCAGCATTGGATGCCGCCGCGCGAGGACGCACTACGATCGCAGTTGCTCACCGGCTGAGCACTATCCAGCGGGCAGATCTAATATACGTCCTCGACCAAGGAGAGGTCGTCGAGTCAGGTACACACCGTGAGCTTCTCCGGAAAAAAGGACGCTACTACGAACTCGTTCATCTACAGAATCCGGATGCCACGGGTTCATGATTGGGCTATTGGGAGTTTTTACGCTGTGTGTATTGAGGGCAGGATTCCAAATACGTACTCGCATTTCTTGATCTCTTTTTAGCGGCGTCTAGGAGCTCGTCCTTCTTTCTTTATCTTTTTCTACTTGTTCTTACTGGATTTGATTGGTTTTTTTTTTTTTTGTTTTTTGTTTTATCAACATCAGCAAGGTACTGCTGAGCATTGTATTAGTATAGGTATTAGTATAGGTATTAGGTACCACTGTCGCTTTTCATATAATAATGGCCTTATTTCAATTTTGTTCTTTTTATATCGTAAACCGTGTTATGGCTGTAAACGTCTAGGGTTCAAAATTTTGGGTGTTTCCGTCTAGCTAACACACGATATCTTCTTCGTTTTTTTTACAACAAAGGCCTTTCTAAGTAGTTATTCTACATCTCCTACCGTCTACTGTTCCTAGATATCCCGTATAAAGTTCCGTGTGGCAATTTAATTTTCATTGTCAAGTTATTCGGGGTCGCCTCAGTACTTACGACGCAAACTTCAGAGAGTCCTTTCCTCTGCCATTCGTCTCAATGCCCGGATAGTTCCTTGCACGGAGGATATAGCAATTCTCATATGGTCCTCTTTAGCCTTTTGTGCCTCATTTGTCCCGGGCTCGATATCAGTCAATTTCCATTCGTATGTAAACGTAAGGTAGAGATTCTGGTCATGTCCGATCGATACGATATTTTCCACGGATGACCCGCCTGGTAACGTGAAATAAGTCTGCAATTCGGTTAGACCACGACGGACAGGTATTGAAACAAGATCTGAGTGTCTAGGCCCCGTACCCTGACCGGCGCATGTAGTTTACATTCTTCTCTGGTCCATTTTCCAGCCATAGGGGATTCACGGAGGTTGGCCGCAACGTGAGCCTCTCGTATGATATAGGTTCCATCCTCCCGTTCCTCAAGAATTCGGGAATCATCCAAAGATGGAATGAAATCCTGCGGACGTCGAGCTTTTAGTTTCAATCCATTCCAGACTTGCTCCTGGGTAAGGACCGGTATGGAGGGATCGGAGGTATTGTTCACTGGTTCCGTGTAGGCAATATTGAGGGTGAGCATTGTGGGTGTTCAGGTTGTAATTCAACTCCCAGGCGTAGTGAGGAAGTATAGGACTGAGACTAGATCTGCATGCAAGCAGCAGTACTATTTATCACTTCTACAAGCTAGGTACGGAGGCTGCAGCAACTCGGCCTCCGACAACAGCCGAATACCGAGTGGATGGATGGTGTTGTCAGTAGACGTTAGTCAAGAGACGGTTTTTCTGCTTGATTTAGTACCTCTAGGCTCGTTGCCGAGGTAAGTAGATATGACTTCTATTGACGAGTTGAGCCATTCGAGAATTATATCGCCAATTTTGCCCCATAAGATTACTCGAAAGTCCCACGTACATCATAGGCCGTGCCTCTTCTTAAGCCATTCGGATATCCCCGGAAATATTATCCAGATCCCGTATTCTCCGGCCATGAAGTTTGCAAACGGCGAACCCACCCTTGGACACCCAAGCAACTTACCCTTATTGTTGGATTACGCTGCAATTTAAATGAACTCTTTTTATTTAGTATTTTGAGTAAACGTCATATGTACGGTCCATCGCCATTTGTCCTTCTCCCGCTTGGTCTGTCTATTATTTAAGCGTTAAGCCCTTCGTAGCTGCACTGAGCACTCTCGCCATAACAACAATCCACTACATGGCTAATAACAACAAGATAAGCAAGGGAAATGACAGGTGTTGCTAGTCTTTTCATACATGCTTGTCGGCAAAGTCTTAACCATAGGCCTTGGTCGCTCACAGCCGTCAATGAGCCCGATTGCGTTTATTTCTGTCCTTTTTCTCTTCGAAGGGATGGATAGTGGTAGCCAAGCAAAGCCAGCGCATTTTTCAGTATTCAATCATGTTGAGCCATCATGTAGACTGTTGCATTCGTTGATAAATGCAATCAAGAAGCATGTTATTCAGGGCAGAGGCGATATTAAACCTTGTCCCAATGTGATATAGCTCACAGAGGTATGCCACGCATTGAATGGTGAAGACTAAGCGATCCAACCGCCAGTGATGACATTGCCACTTCTGCTCAGGAGCTTCTTATGAAGCATTTTATATCATGACCGGATGGTGACGTGGGGACGGTTGACCGATGAGCTCAACCATGGTTCAGACAGCTCTTGTTGGGGAACAACCATTGGTTCGCGTAGGTCCACTAATATGCCTTCTACATGGGCGAAAACATTGATATACGACCTCTGGTACGGTCATTGTGAGTTCAAAGCCGAGCATCTGACTTACACGTTTCTATCTCTGCTTTCTACCTTCACAATGGCAGGCTCTACCGCTGTCACACCAATCCGAACCAGCACTACTCATTATAATCGAGACTGTGTGCTTCATCATACATTCCTCCAGGATCTCTTGGAAACAAATACTCACAAGAGGGTCCAAATGCTGCCAACTTTAACTTTTGACAAGAGACCTGTGCGACAAATCGTCGATCTTCGCCAGAAGGACACTAAGACTGCCACCCTTTCGCCTTGCAGAAACTGTTACTCTGGCAGTCATTGCGAGTTTAACTCTAATGGGCTCCTACGGTCAAAGCGCGATACTAAAATCAAGCGACACTTTGAGCGCTGGGTGCGCCAGCAAGCAGAATGGTGCTCGGACTCGCACGCAACAGCTCCTCGATCGATGAGCTCTTCTACTGCAGGTAGTATTGCTGGTACAGATGAAGGAGCTGAGAATGTCATTCCGTCATCCACAGTTCTGCTACCTGAACCGTATTCGCAGCGATTACCATGGCGCTATGAACTCGTCGACCCCATGTTAATGGTTCAATTGATCTCAAACACGCTGGGAAGGCTCGCATTCCTCAACGACATGGCATTCCGCCCCAGATTTACTGTTACACGCTTTCACTCGAACAGAGCGCCCCGGGTATCTGCCTGCGAGTACCTGAGACGCTTAACGCATCGATTGTGTCTCTCGTCTCCGACACTGGTGATGATGGTTATCTACATCCGACAACTCTGCAAAACGCACCCCACATTCGATGTTTCGAGCCTTACAGCTCACAGGCTTCTTCTAAGCTGCGCCTTAGTGGCTAGTAAGAGTGTAAGTGACTTTGCCTGGCCCAACCAATCCTTTGCTTCCGCAGGTGGAGTTTCTGCTGCCGAGATGGCAGTTTTGGAGTTGGAACTATTGGAATATCTGGAATGGAACGTTGCGCCACATCAAGAACGGCTGTCCGAGTGTTATCGTGATCTTGTACGGGGAAGTAATGGATACTCGGCCGAGCATGGGACGAGCTCAGCTGGGCCTTATGCTGTCCAATTTGAACGTGACTGTGTCGAAGAATAAGTAGGCAGATCTCTTTTATCACGTCCGAAGGACGGTTTACCATTAGCAAACCTCTTGCGCTATACATAAGCCTAGCTATTTCAGATAGTAATAACATACTATCTCCGACTTCGGGGGTTAGCAAATTGCCCATTCCGGCGAACAGAGGCATTCTGATCTACGGCGGGGACGATTTTGCAGAGCTTTTCAGACTATCCGAAGATATAAATTCCATCTTGTCGTGTTCTGTATGTACATCACTTCGGTTTACAGTAATTATGCACCCATATATTGGTAGTTCAGTATGCGCTATGAGAAGGAGGAATGGTATACAAACCCCTTTGTCAAATATGTCATGGCGACCAAGCACGGGTGTATGATGCCAGGGATAGAGTATTGTTAAGGGAAAAGGGGGAAAGGGTTGCAAGAGGGGGCAGATGTAAGCTCGGCTATAGACAGAGATTAACTTTAACCCAAGGAAACGGTTTTTTTTTTTTCTGTTTTCATAGACAAACGAGCATCTTAGGCACAAGTATTAGTACCACATGGTGTTTGGGCCGAGTGGGTCAACATATCACGACTATTCAGCTTCCACTGTACAGTGAAATCAGAGAAATTCAGACACCATGAGAGTTGTATTCTCTATACGATCGATGGATTGCCCCTTTTATTGCCCTAGGTGAAGCCCTCTGTTCAGCTTTGCGCATAACCAACATGCAAGGCCATCGGAGCTTCCAAGAAACCAGAGTTACGATAGTTGAGCTAGACAGCAGGCAGCGGGCGGCAGCTATGATAATCTTCACCCAAGAGGCTATTCGCAAAGTATGGTTAATTTCGCTAAAATTCTTTCTAGAGGTTCTCGAGGAGTCCTTGCATTCTCATCGGATTTCCACGATATGGGATTGGCTCGGGGTAGCATGACACATTCCTCCCCTGCAACGGAGGATTCAATTCGTGAGAAAACAAGGGTGTAATTTCCTGTTCGTCTGGTTCGCGCTAAACTGAAGTATGTACCTTTGCAGGCGTAATTGATCGGCCGAAAGAGCTGCTGCTGAACGGGTATGATTTCCGGTTGATCTGCAAGGGGAAGTCCAAACGTCTGCCCATCAGTCGATCAACACATAAGCGAAAAGGCTAATTCTTCGATGGCCAAGCGTTTCGTAAATTAAGATTGGATATCCAGTTAGCCACACGCCGTGCATGACTCGCGCAAGGGGGACAAGTGACAGGGGGTTCCCCAAGCGATATCCCCAGAGCTTACGTGCATGTTTCCAAGAGCATGCCCAATTTCGAAGCTTCATGCGCCTGTCAAACACTCACTTAACGCAGGAGCAGTAACTGCCAGTATGTTCTGGTCATTCGGGCCTTCTCTGCCTGTCTCGAACTGTTCAACCACGGGCAGTTATATCATCCCTTGCTTGCCCGAGGGACCAAAGCGCTGGAATGCACAGGAATATTATGACTTAGGGCTCGTTGTAGTAGACCAGCTCAAATATGTAAATAGCCTCTATTATATATATCAGAGTTCTTTTGACGTGTGTAGGCAAATCCGCAGTGACTATCTTCCTCTGCCTGGCAATGAAAACTCTTGCGTCACGTTTAGCAGCGCCTTTTAAGCACTCATGGCGAAAGTCCTGGGCCTA